CCTTGGCGGAGTCCAACTCTCACCGGAAACGAGCCCGACTTACTGCCGGCAATGCGAACCAGACTCTGACACCGGTCGTACAAGGACCTGACAGCCCTTACCAACCCAACGAGACAAATCCATGGCCTGATAAGACCAAAATATTTAAATCTTCCAATATCAAAATTTTATCATTTAGAATGATTCTGTTTGTTTGATTTCTGAAATTAAATTTGAGGACATTTCCAGCTTTTATTTTTTTATTTTTTTGGGGGGGGGGGGGCGGGGTATGAAAGATTGGTTTTTTTGAAATTTCATGTTATGTTGCTATTACCTCATCAAAAACATACCTAGAGTGTTGCTTTGATTCATTCGTACAGGTTTGAGAAACCCTTGAATCTTCAGTGTGGGAGCCATGTGGTGCTTGCWGGTACAAAGCAGCCCCTAACCTTCTGATACCCAAGCTTTTCCTGGATGTGCATTTTATTTTCTCTAAGAGACATGGGATAAGTAGGACCTAATAAGTATATTAACTAGACTCTGTCATGGTACAGGAAGTAGTTTGAGCAAAAATATAATGTCTTTATATGAGGACACCAGGTCTCAAAATGTCACTCTTTTTGAGTAATACCTAAGCAATTACCATAGAGAAACTTCATGGTGGTTCAATTTTCCTAGTTATTTTGGCAATAAAACAGCTAGCTGTTGACCAGAGCAGGATTACTGAAACGCATCATCATAATCAACAAACTTTCAGATTGCTCTTCAGTTGAAAAACATATTATGTGACATAACGTCAGGAAATCACAGAGCATATGACCAGAAAATCCTTGATATAATTAATGGTAGGACAAATGTTCCACTTGCAAGACCTATTTGTGAACTGTTMTAAATATTTCCAGATTTGTTTAACAAAAATTTGTGACCAAATATACCACTTACACTTACATTTGTAAGCTCTTCTAAATATTTGCAGGTTTATCCAACGTCATGGCACAATTATTAACAAAATTATAGTCCCAATGTCCTCAAATGAGGACTTTATGTTTACTGACATTGTACTTTGCTTCAGTTGTAAAACAATGTTATTTGCATGCCTTACAAAGTTAAAGTTGTAAATGTACTGAGCCCGCGAGGGGACATGGGGGATTTTTTTCTTTTTGCGTTCCCACGCAAAAATATTGCGTTACCTCGCAATACCTTTTGCGTTCCCTTGCAAAAGTCGTTTATTACTGTTGTGCCTGCTGGTTTATTAACAAACTCACGTGTTTACCATTAGCGAGTTAGCCTACTACTTTAATTCAGCTTCAGAATGAATATATCACACAAACACGCATGGAAGTGTGTCATATGCCAATATTTTAACACAGTGCAGCCACGCAACATCAATGTCAATTTCTCGAACTTGTGGCAACACATCTGGTTTTGGTAACCGGATATTTCAAAATTAAAGTCTGATTTAATTCAGTTCATATACAAATCAAACTTTTGCGTGGGAACGCAAAACAATATTGCGAGATAACGCAAAAGGAGGCTATAGCACCTCCCTGGAGGTCAGTCTGCAGCCAAGCTCCTGACCCACAAAGGACCCCTCTGCTGAAGCATTATTTGAAAAATATGCTGATAGGGAAAAAGTAGGTTCTTAAAGAGACAGAGTCCAGTTTCAAGGTGTTTCGATGCAAAGTCAATTTTTTTTTATAAATGCAGCTTTTTCGTAACAACTGATAGTAACATTGTTACTTGATTGTTGTATAGAATTGAACCATGTGCCTGGAATACATAAACCCCTCCCCCCAATATCAACAGGAATTAAAAAGTGGGTCAATTACGAATTCCTTATTTTTGCATTGTAGAAACTTTGCTAGTAGCTAGCAGCCAAGCGCAGCAAAACAGGCTCAAGATTTCAGGTGGTGCCCCTTGGACAATGTTCTAAATCTTACTGTTAATTTACATAAATAGTTTTGTCTTTTATATTATTTTTAATCTTTAGAAGTAAGGTTGTCTAATTATAATAGTTAACAACATATTTAATTTGAAACAAGAATGAGGAACGCCTCTTCATGTTAATGCTGTGGAGTGAGTGACATATAACTTCTATCAAGTTGCCCAGCGTCCCTTGGAGCCACACATTCTTTTTTAAAGGTGGTGGGCTTGGTTCTTCCTCTACTGTGTAGGCCTAATGTTAACAGTGAAGCAAAAGCTGTTCAACATGYCTACTGTAAAAACAGTCTACAATGCAGCATTTTTCCTCAATCATTAAATGCTAAAATCTGGGATATTTCTGAGGACAACTTTAACTGGTGACAGGTCGGAAATTTCCTCAGAAACCGGGGCTGTCTGGTCATCCTAGCGGTAGGGTTGTTTTCTGCAAGTATACTTGCTAAGTACTAAGTTAACATTTTAGACAGCTTTGTGACATTCCCCCCCACTTTATTTTACTTACACAAATGCACAAAGATTTGTGGCATTTGTAAAATTATTATGTTTTGTTTGTCAGACTAGCAAAGGTCAAGCAGAGGTCTTCAACGATGGGGTCAAGGAGCAGGGGGCTCTTGAAATTTTTGGGCAGGCTTTTGAAAATATCCCCCCCASAGTTATGTCTTTAAACGTATAGCATAAATGCAATGTGTATCAAATTGATAAATGGAAGCATCAAAATGTATTTCAGTCAGAAAAGCACACAATCAGCTGAACTCTGCTTTACTCACAGCTCCATGCGTTTTGCATGCAAAGAGAAGGACCTCCCCCTATCCATACTGGACAGGTCACGTGGCCCTGCTGGTGTGTTTTCTCTGTCAGATGGCTGAGAGCCTATAACAACAGTGCACGTCCTTATGAGAACAGTTATCAGTATATTCCTATAGGGGATCCTTGCTCTGTCTCTCCACCAGTTTAGGGATCCTAGAGTGAAAAACGTTGAAGACACCTGACCTAAGGTAAATTACCTATAGCTTTAGCGAGGTTAGCTTGAGCTAAGCTAACAGTTTCTATCTGTTTCCAGCCAGGCTAACTAATTGGACAAAGCTAACTGTTTTCATCTGTCTCCACATCACTAACACACAAAAAGAAAGAGTCATTATTTCTCTATCATGAAACAAAGTGTCCTAAAGTGACTTCCCATGTTCTCAGTCCTGGTTCTCAAGGACCCCTATCCTGCATGTTTGAGTTCTTTTCCTGCTCTTCAGTAGCCATTTAGGTTCTGCAGAAGCCAATCAATCACTCGTTCATTTAAATCAGGTGTGCCACAGCAGGGACACAATTAAAACATGCAGGACAGGGGTCCTTGAGGACCAGGATTGACAACCACTGCCCTATGGGACAAACAAACACACAAGGACACACATGTTTGCACACACCTATTAAAATGCACACAGACACACCCACAAGATAAGATGCAGCTGCATCTTATCTTGTGAAACCACCCAGGTTGCAAATTAATACACAGCTTCCTGCTGGATCAAGAGCTCTGTTTCATGTTTGTTTGATCACATACAAAGTAAAAGGATCTTGTAAAAACACACAACAAAGAACATCATTTAGATGAGAAATTATGCCTTGGTTTTATCAAAGGAACTTGTTGATATTCATTGATTTGGTTGTCTCCAGAGATAACTGCCCCTCATCTTGACAAAATGTTAATTTTTTTAATGTAAAAGTCTCAAAAAAATGGTATGTTTTAAAACTAAGAATGCACAGTTGCTCTAAAAATATAATTTAATATTTTTACATAGTTTTTTTAATGTATTGGATGAAAATAAAAAATGGAGGAAATGCCTGTTGAAAAGGGGAGTGGCTGGATTTCTTCTAAACAATTATTGATGTAAAATATAAAATATGACAAGTAGATTCAGTGCCTGAATAAAAAAAATTATGAATAAAATTTTAAAACTATTTTGAAATCACTATTTCAGTACATATGCTAGGTAAAGGTCCATGCCACACCCACCATACTCCATGCTTTATTGCTGTTGCTTCATATCTGCAGAGAGCTAGATGATGTTTTGGGTAAAATAACATTTTTAAAGGTTAAAAATAAGGGCAAGATGACACTTTAAATGAAAGCATTAAACCTCTGCTTTAAAAATGGAAATATTTTATTTAAAAAATGGAAAACCTTTCCTATTGCCTTTTTCATTTTATTGGATCAGCCTTTGAAATTTTATTTAAAGAAAATTTTTATTATATTCCGATTTCAAATTAAATAAAGTTGTGTTTGCACACCTGATTATTTGACAGTGTCTCCTGGAAGCAGAGGCACTGTCAGCTACTCAATGAAGTTTTTATTTGTACGTACTATAGAGAAAAACATTCACAGTCTTTAAATTTTGTACTTTTAGGAGGCATTTTAAGAAAGATTATGATGTTTTACCAACATTTTTTTTGAATGAACTGCCCATTTTTCTGTAAAATGTTAGCACTCAGGCCATGYTACACAAATTCTAAAACTTTCAGGCTCTTACCCGTCCGTCTAYGCAGAACTTTTTTGTTGTTGTTAATCACATTTTCATTTTTCACATCACTGTCTCAGCACATGCGTATCCCCTCATTTCCCTCCCCCTTCACTCTGAAAGCCGAAGCAAAGCCATGTTCACACTAATGGAGGATCAATAATGAATGATGAGGTTACACTTCTGATCATCCTGACACTAAGTCCTCTTCGCCTTTCTGCCTCCTCCATCTCCATCATAACCACTGCAGCACGAACCTCCCCACCCTCGCCCTGTTACACCCCACCGACACACTTTCAGGCAGCAACCATTTATTTTAAGAAGCTCAGCACTGAAAACACAAAATGAACCAAGCAGGATCCAGATACGAGCAGCTGGGGTGCAGGTAGGATGCAGAAACTTACCCCCCTGCCGGGCTGTCCCTGTCGTTTCTGCTGGTGGAGGTGGATGGTTTCGCTGCGGTTTACCTCCGTCTGGCTGTGTGGATGCAGGCGCCGGGCAACAGCATCAGCAACAGCATCAATGCTGCCTCCATGACATCACCATGGAGATGCCTTATTGGTCCGTGGCTCTGCCAGCATCCAGGCCTCTCAGCCAATAGAAGCAAGGTGAAAAGATGGAGGAGGGGGGCATTGTTTTGTGTTGTATTGCAGGGTGGGTGGTAGAGTCAGTATTTTATTACATGCTGCAGGAGGGTGGGATTGTACACGTGGATGTATAATGTAGAGGGAGGTGGTACAGGGAATGTGTGTGTGAGCATGTTCCAGCAGAGACTTATCTAAAAGGCACAGCAGACTCTAAATTATTCAGATATTACCTGTAAATATGAGAACAAAATGAAATCCTTTTGTAATGTATGGCAGGATTATTAGAACACAAACAGCTAAAACAAAAACAACAAAACCTCGTTAGTCACATCTTTTCCTTCATACAGGATGTCCATAAGTTCTGTCTGCAGATGACATTTAATAGTTCAGTTTTTAATCTAGTCCACATGCAGAGCAGTGGTGTAAATGATTTGATTTACAAGAAGCTGACACATCTAGACCGAGCACCACAGAACATAAGCTGATGGCATCATGACTGGAGCAATGGTGTTATCAGGCAGTTGCCAGATCATCTGACAGTCAATCAAAACAGTGAGTGATGACCTTAACACAAATGCCCTTGCACCCTGTTCAGGGAATTGTTCAGTTCTGCATGGATGACAGTTATGTGTGAGTCTTCCAAATGTCAGAAAACTGGACATGCTTGTCTTGTGTTAGCCTCACTCTCGTTATTTTGTATGGAGCTGTTAGCTTTGTTACTTAGAAATTGGTCAAAAATAAGGTTCAGATATATAAAACATAAACCACGAGTTATACATTCTCAGAGAAAGGATTTAGCAGTAACCTATGGCAG